ATTCTTCTTCTGAAGCTCTCTGCAACATGCTTGAGATAATATTGCCTCATATGAGAAAGGTGATAAGGGAATGCAAAATGTACTGGCAAGTTTTCAGTCCCTCTTTGAGAAATACACCAAAGCAACAGAGAAAGATCTCACCATCAGTTAGGTAGATGACCTGGTGGAGACTGAGGAACTTGGGATAAATTTAAGACATCCATGCATATATATGCAAAATGTTCAGAGGTTCTTGATTCTGGTCACCTTTTACAACTTACTCACTTCTTTGTTTTAGGCTGGTAATGCTTCCTTTTCCTTGGCTGTTAAAGCCCATTCTTTCCAAGGACACCTTTCTCAGCTTTCCTTATTTCCTGTTCTGCTTAGGAAGTCTTAAATCACACAATGGCAGCCACTTTTCTTGCATGGGTGACTGTGAACCAACTGTTGCTCACACCAACTACAGGTTGCTTGGCTGACCTGCAACACCTGTCAATAACCATGTATTATAACACAATACCCACAAGCTTCCCGGTGAAAACCAGTTGAATGAAATAGCTGATTTTGATGGAAGAGAAAATAATTTTGAAGCATTTACATACTGAATCTTTTGTTGTTTATGTTACAAACACAGAAGAGTCTACTGCAGACTTGCAGGAGTGGTCTTGGCCTTCTTGACGGCAGTACATTCTCACACTGCAGCACTGACAAGCATCACTGTCTAGAAATTCCAGTTTTGTAAGAAACACAGTTGTTGCTGCTGGCCAACAATCAGACCTTACTTATTCATAGGTTTGTCATTCCTCAGCTGGATTACAGCAAAATTGTATGTATGGATAAGATGTCTCCCATATTTAGGGAGTTTTGAGAAGCACATAATGCTGTAGCACATCTTAGAAACACAAGCTATTTGTAGGCATATCAAACTAATCTCTCTGGCTTTCCATAAAATTTAAATTAAATTCATTATCTCAGTCTTATCTTCAGAGAACATAATTTCCAGGACAGCTACAGCCTCAAGATAAGAACTGTCACTGACAAGAACAGTGCTCTTCACTATGGAGGTAAGGTAATCTGTTCAGGAGACAACTTAGAGAGACCTGACTGCAAACAGAAAAATGAAATCTTCCAAAGACACAACAGAGTTCACTGTCATCCAATCCCAACTGCCAAGGAGATTTCTTTTACCATGCCTTCTTCAATCCAAACGTTTGTTTTTAGAAATATCTATTTATTTTTAAGTAATAACCTTCCCCAACTATGAAAACAAAATGTTTCACATGCTCTTACTCTGGAGAAGGGATGAGAATACAAACAACATGCAATGTATTCTATCATAGCAGAAACTTACTTGATAACACCCTTTCACTTTGTAATACATATCATAATGCATGATCTCATGTATTTAGTGTTAAATGTATGTAGTGGTTGAGAAGACATTCTTAATGCAAATAAGAAGCTATGAAACTATGCCATAAATGATATTTTCTCAGGATGAAAGCAAGTTAGATGTACTTTAAAGTCCATGTAAGTAATTGGAAACATATTTCCAACACTGTAATTCTTTTTCTTCTCTCCATATTAAATGGAACTTGCATGCCATTCTTCTCACTAGCATCAATCTTTTGATGAGTTCAGATGTGTCACTTATGTATCTCTGTATGCCTCTCTCTGTTACTAATTCACACACATTCATAATTTGTTAAAATTTGACACATTGCAGAGCTTTTGAGTCTTTTGACTCTTAAGCCAGTCACACACTAAGTGCCTAAATTAGTTTTGGCATCAGAAGTCGAAGCAAGACTTGACAGACCTACTATAGTTAACAGACACTGCAGAGATGGTCTCCTGATTCCTGCATCATAATCAGCAGGCACTGCATACTAGAATACATACTATTTGCATGATGGAACATGGGTGTAGTCACCATCCTCTTTTTTTTTTTTTTTTCTCAGAAGAGCTGGTAAAAGCATCACTAATATCTGTTGTTGCATTTTAGAGAAGTAACAGATGGCCTTCAAATTCAAGCAGAGAAAAGTTTTATTGTTAACTGTACTTGTATTGCATAAGTTTTAAGGCTGCGATTTCCTCATGGCCAGCAAAAGCTCTATTAATACTACATCCTGAAAAGTTGCAGGACCAATTTATGCTCTGCATAAATCAATCTCAAAGGACCACACTATTTTATTAATGTTAGTGAATTTTGCTTATATCTGTTTTCCAATTTGCCAAAACATTTGTGAGAAGTAAAGGCATGATACTGCAATGATTCTGACTGACTTCTATTTATTGGTTGTGTGGTGCATACAAAACAACACAGCTACGGGTGTACTCATGGGATCATTTCAGAACTATCATCTTTGGTTCGCTTGAAACAGAAGAATTTACAAGTGGTATAGAGAATTTTTTCAGAGGGCTTATCTCTGTAATCTCTTTTTTCCCATTCTTTAACCAAGTATTTGATGAGTATTGTTGATGGAGCTGTACAATAGTGTTCTTGTGACTTGCAGCTGTGTTTTTCAAATGAATATTTGTCTTGGATTCTCTGTGGAATCTCTCAGCAGCTTTTATTGACGTTTCTTGGTAAATGTTAAACACTACATCAATTCTTTTGACTTTCTGCACCATCATGTACTGCTGATAACCAGGTACTTGTTAACTTTGTTTATTCTTTGGATCACACTCATTCCATCAGCGACAGATGGCCTGCTGCGGTTCCAGTATGATTTGCATTCCACATGGTCCCTCTACCAAAGTTGCCTGCTTTGTTCTTCAAAGTGATCTATCCAACGTTGTCCGTGTGTAATAAATAAGACATACTGAGTATGCCTGCTTGGAGCAACACTTTTAAAAAAAATTTTTTTTTGTTAAATCCTTGTCTGTTTTGAATATTATTACTTAGAGATCCTTGCATTTCCTGTTCTCCTTTTGGTGGCTGAAAACATTCTGATCTTCTCTCTGGAAGTCCATTCACGAAATTTCCACATAAAAGAACCACTCTCGAGACGATTCTTAAAATAATTGCAGGTCTGCTCACCTACTTTATGTGCTTTTAGGAGGTCATCAATACCATTTGGCAGGGCTGGCTAAGAAGCTAACAAGATCTATTGGTCATTATTGATTGGCTTTATCTTAAGAATTTCAAACAAGGCTTCAATACCTGGCCTTCTGGAAGTTTGATTATCTGTACTTGTTGAGACATACACTCAGATACATAGTCTATTCTGCATGAGTTAACCTGGAGGTCTGTGGCTGTTTCCTGTCTCTCAGCTACCTTGTACTAATATTTTGATGGTCAGCAGCAAGATAGTATTTAGCTGCAAACTAAATCTCTTTGAACTAAATTGATTGGAAACTAAATCCCTTTAACCCCTTGGAGTCTGAGTGGACTTCTGTGGTTGAGGTGATCTAGTGGAAAGAAAGGGAGGTCCCGCTTCCCTCCAGCTCTGCTGTGCATTCCTGTCCCCTCCCTTATGTAGTCAGTGTTTTTCATTTAACCCCCCATTCATTTCACATTTGCAGGAAGTTTAATTCTCTATCCATCTATCTTTCAGAAATGACTCATCATGAGGCCAGATGAGCACTGCTGCTGGTAAAGGAAGCAGCAGCAGCAGATAGTCACAGTCAAGAAAGAAGAGAGCAGGACAACCCCTTTGGTAGCAGCCACATTAGAGCGACACAGCTACAGCATGAAACCATACCTTGAAAGTGTGGGTTTTATTATTAATATAAGATGATCTAACTCTGTGCTGCTTATCTTCCCCCAGTTGCACATTCCCAACTCCTTCCTTATTTTGGCTCTAGGAATTCTGCGATGAGTTGGATCAGCCTGGTTGCTGATCAACAGTTTACTTACCCGAGAACCCATCATTTCTTTGTGTGTGTTAGTTTTCAAGTGGATCTGACTCACCCTTTGGTTGCATGATTACTAGAACTGATGCAAGGGAGGTAATGGAAATATGTACCTGAAGATAGAGGAGAGGTCAAAGCCCTTTTTTACAGTTGGAGATCAGTCTTAGATTAGCTTGAGTCAATCATAAGGCTGTAGTTAGACAAACTCTTTAAGCTGAAACCTCTGCCAAAAGAAACAGTCCTGCCTCCCTGCCCAGTGAAAACAATCCTTCCAACCCTATGCCACTTCCTTCTGACATTGATCTGGTTCACTGTGCAACACAGCTGGTGGTATAGTTGCACAATGATCAGAACAATGAAGTGAGTTATCTGACAACCAGTTTTTCAGGTTAACGTTTCAGGTCCACTCCCCAGCCTGGCTCTGCCTGCGGCTGGCAGTTCGGAGGCTGCCGCAGAGCGGGAGGGATGGTGGCACTGTCTCCTTCAGGGGCAGCGTGGCCTTGACATGAAGCCTCAAAGTAGAGCTGTATTTGCTGTCTCTGACCTGACTTACCCACGGGACTCTCCCAGCAGGGTTCAGCAACCCCATCCGACCAGGCTTTCAGGAGCCGGCCGGCGCGCTGGCAGCAGCCTGGGGACAACGCCGGCCGGGGCCAAGGCAAACGAGCCCAGGAACGCAGCCAGGGTGGCGGCACCCCGTTCTGGCTCCCCCGTGGCGGAGGCTCTCACCCGGGAGCCATCACCCCTACAAAACGGCGCTGCCCCAGCGCGCACTGACTGACACCCCTCCGACCCCAGTTCGGCACCTCAGGCGGTGGCGGTTACCATCGCGCCCCACGCGCTGCCAGGGGCAGACGCCCCACGTCCTGAGGCGACGGGTCCCTGCGGGCCCGAAAAGCCTGCTCCTCACACCCACCAGCGG